AACAGCTCATCAGGTCCCAAATACCATTTATCTCCATTCACTCCTATCTAACAAGCTGACACATGCCTGCTGTAATGTCCAGGCCTCTTGCACACAAAACCTCTTTTACTTCCTCCCTCCATCTTTTCCTAGGATGACTCCTACCCCTCCTCCTCTCCACTACAGATTTATACATCCTCCAAGTTATCTTATCTTGCTCCACCCTCTCTAAATGACCAAACCACTTCAACATCCCCTCTTTGGCCCTCTGAATAATACTTTTAGTAACTCCACACCTCTCGATTTCCACACTACAAATTCTCTGCATAATATTCATGCCACACATTGCCCTCAGACATAACATCACTACTTCCAGTTTTCTCCATGTTGCAATATTCACCACCCATGCTTCACACCGATATAAGACTGTTGGTGCCACTATACTCTTATACATTCCCCTTTTTGCTTCCATGGATAATGTCCTTCGTCTCTGGACTCCCTAGTGCACCACTCGTCTGTTTTCCCTAGTCAACTGTATGGTTCACCTCATCTTTCATAGACCCATCTGCTGACAAGTTAACTCTCAAATATCTGAACACATTCACTTACTCCATACTCCCTCCCCCCAAATCTGATATCCAATTTTTCAATACCTAATTTTTTTGTTATTCTCAGCACTTATATTACTGGGAATGGTTGAAGTCCCTTGATTTGTACTTCATGGAACTCAGGCAAGAGATACATGATAATATACACACGTATAATCTTAGAAGGGGCTAGTCCCCAATTTGCACATGGTAATCACTCCTTATGAAAGCCAAAGACTCGGTAGGCAGTGCGACATCCCCCAATGAAAAGTATGAGTGACACGAGTACAATGTGAGACAACACAATAAGTGTCAGGGGTCCAAGACTGTTCAACTGCCTCCCAATATACATAAGGGGGATTACCAATAGACCCCTGGCTGTCTTCAAGAGAGAGATGGACAGCCACCTAAAATCAGTTCCCGATCAGCCAGGCTGTGGTTAATACATCATTTTGCATGCGGCCAGTAGTAACAGCCTGGTTACTCAGGCCCTCAGCCACCGTGAGGCCTGGCTATGTATAAGGCCACCCATAGGTAGTTGATGCTTCAGTATACTCCAGGTATATCTTGCTAATTAGTATGTTCACTTTCAACTTCCTTCTTGTACACACCCTCCCAAATTCATCCACCAACCTCTAACTCTTTTCAGAATCTCCCAAAAGTACAAAGTCATCAGTAAAAAGCAACTGACAACTTTTGCTTTGTGTTAGATTCCTTATCTTTCAATCCCACAACTCTTCCTAACACCTAAGCATTCACCTCTCTTACAACCCTATCTATCAATATATTGAACTCTATACAGTGGAACCTCTACTTGTGAGCACATCCACATGCAAGTTTTTCCAAATACAGTAGTCCCTCGTTTTTCGTAGTTCTCGGGAATCATAGATTTCGGAAATCATAGGGATAGTTTTGTATAAACATGGGCTTGCTAATCATAGGTTGACTCGCGAATAGTAGTTCGTCTGGGACGCGTACAAACGGTGTGAGCCGGGGCAGCCTCCCTACCCAGCCAGTCTGGCATTGTTTACCAGTGAGCGAAGGTCCCCTCACGTGCTCCTTCGAAATATTTCATAATATTCCACTCATTTTAGTGCTTGCAAGTACTAAATAAGCTACCATGGCTCCAAAGAAAGCTCCTAGTGCCAAGCCTGTGGTAAAGAAGATGAGAAATACGATTGAATTTAAGAAAAACATCATTGAACAATATGAAAGTGGCACAAGTGCGGCCGAACTGGCCAGGATGTATATGAAATCCTACACAACCATGTGATCCATAGTGGCCAAGAAAAAGGAAATCAAGGACACTGTTGTTCCAAAGGGGGTAACTATGCTGACAAAAATGAGATCACCAGTACTCGAAGATGTTGAGAAATTATTATTGGTGTGGATAAACGAGAAACAATTAGCAGGAGATACAGTGGACCCCCGGTTAACGATATTTTTTCACTCCAGAAGTATGTTCAGGTGCCAGTACTGACCGAATTTGTTCCCATAAGGAATATTGTGAAGTAGATTAGTCCATTTCAGACCCCCAAACATACACGTACAAATGCACTTACATAAATGCACTTACATAAATACACTTACATAATTGGTCGCATTCGGAGGTGATCGTTATGCGGGGGTCCACTGTACTCTCATGACTTCGGTTATTTGTGAAAAGGCTAGGCAGTTGCACAACGATCTGGTAAAGAAATTGCCTGCATATAGTGGTGATGTGAGTGAATTTAAGGCCAGCAAAGGTTGGTTTGAGAGATTTAAGAACCGTACTGGCATACACAGTGTAGTAAGGCATGGTGAGGCTGCCAGTTCGGACCACAAGGCAGCTGAAAAATATGTGCATGAATTCAAGGAGTACATAGAGGCTGAAGGACTGAAACCTGAACAAGTTTTCAATTGTGACAAAACAGGCCTCTTTTGGAAGAAAATGCCAAAGAGGACCTTCATTACACAGGAGGAAAAGGCAATGCCAGGGCAAAAGCCTATGAAAGACAGGCTGACGCTCATGTTCTATGCTAATGCTAGTGGGGATTTCAAAGTGAAGCCATTACTAGTGTACCATTCTGAAAATCCCAGAGTGTTCAGGAAAAACAATGTTATGAAGAGTAAATTGTGTGTTTTGGAAATCTAATAGTAAGGTATGGGTCACGAGGGAAATTTTTGTCGAGTGGTTCAATGAAGTGTTTGGCCCTAGTGTGAAGAATTACCTCCTGGAAAAGAAATTGGATCTCAAGTGCCTGCTAGTAATGGACAATGCACCTGCTCATCCTCCAAACTTGGATGACCTAATTTTCGAGGAGTTTGGGTTCATCACAGGAAAGTTCTTGCCTCCAAATACCACTCCTCTCTTCCAGCCCATGGACCAGCAGGTCATTGCAAACTTTAAAAAACTCTACACCAAAGCAATGTTTCACAGGTGCTTGACTGTGACCACAGACACTCACTTGACCCTAAGGGAATTTTGGAGAGAACACTTCAGGATCCTCCATTGCATAACCCTTATAGGTATGGCTTGGGAGTGACTACCAGGACTTTGAACTCTGCTTGGAGAAAATTGTGGCCAGATTGTGTCGACAAGAGGAATTTTGAAAGGTTTGGGACTGACCCTGATAAGCCTATGTCTGTTAAATCAATTGTGGCAATGGGGAGTTCCATGGGGATGGATGCGAGTTTGCAGGATGTGGAAGAGTTGATGGAAGACCACAACGAAGAGCTCACCACTGAGGAGCTGCAAGAGCTTCAGCAAGAACAGCAACAGATCGCAGCTCAGAATCTTGCTGCAGAGGAGGAGGAAGAGAGATGGAAGAAGGTGCCTTCTTCAGAAATTAAAGAGATTTTTGCTATGTGGGGTAAGATGGAAAGATTTATGGAGAAACATCACCCCTGACTAGGTTGTTGCAAGCCATGTTGGCAACATGTACAGTGACAAAGTCTTGGGCCATTTTAGGGAAGTGTTAAAGAGATGCCAGAAACAGAGCTCTCCCCATAGTTATTTTGCGAGACAGGACTCCAGTGACTCTCAAGGTGGTCCTAGTGGCATTAAGAAACAGAGAAGAGAAGCAACCCCAGAAAAGCAATTGGTACCTGAGGTGTTGATGGAAGGGGATTCCCCTTCCAAACTGTAAACAATCCAATCTCTCTCCTCCTCCAGTCTCCCATACACTAAGAAGATCTCCAATAAAGGTAAGTGCTATGCTGTAAATGTTTCATTCATAATTTCCCATTGTATTGTTCATGTACTACATCTATATTTCATGTAAAAAAAAATTTTGTTTTAATACTTCTGGGTGTCAGGAATGGATTAATTGTATTTACATTATTTCTTATGGGGAAAATTGATTCGAAAATCATAGATTTCGATAATAGTAGCAACTCCAGGAACGGATAACGAAAAACAAGGGACCACTGTACGAGCAGTCGATGGGTCAATTTTTTTTGCTTCCATACGCGAGCAAAATTTCCATAAGCGAGCAGACCTCAAGGCAGGTGCCTTGATGCTGGTGAAGGGGCTCTTGCTCTTGATCTAGAGAATTGTATCTCATTTGTTTGTTGGACTATCTTATTGAAACTTGGGCAATGTATGATTTAAAGATGCTTCTTAACGTAATAATAATAATCACATGTATAATAATAATACGTATAATAATAAAAGTAAAATAATACAATAATAATACATACATAATAATAATGTTCTACATAATAATTATAATAGACTACTTCAAAAGGCCATCACTAGATGGCAGTATTTACCACAACAAAGAGGGAGCGGTTGTGGCTGCCTCCACCTGTTACATAATGACATATTTTATGCTTTCTGGAGTATATATATATCAGGTTTCTGTGTTATTTATATTGCTTATTATTTCACATTAGATGAACTGTGATGGATAAATAAGCCGTAGAGCTGATGATAGCGAAATATTCAAGGAGTATTTTGCCTTTCTCCAGACAAACTCTCGTCAGCCGCCGCCGCTGCCACATATATAATGACATTTTATTCATTCTAGAGTATATATCAGGTTTCTATGTTATTTATATTGCTTGTCATGCCATATTAGATGAATTGTGATAGATAAATAAGCGGTAGAGTTGATATTAGTGAAATTATTGAAGTACAGAATTCCACTGGAATGGATTAATTGCATTTTAATTAATTTAAATGAGGAAAATTGACTCTGCAAAAGAGCAAATCCAGTTGCGAGCATGGTCATGGAATGGATTAAACTCGCACGTAGAGGTTCCACTGTATATCTATTATTCATTATTGTTCTACAAGTTTTCAATCAAAAGTTAATAATAAAGAATCCTCTGGTAATGAAAAACTATTTCCTAACTGAAATATATATGGTAAAAAATATAAAATTTTCAACTTCAAAATGTAACATTTCATCTTAACTTTTCCAAACCATTTAACCTTATTTAATAACTTACTGGAGCAACAGCAACAGTCTCAACATTAGCAACTGTAGTTGGACAGCCAAAGACACCAACATCTGCTGGAAATGGTGGCTTTAGACGTGGTTTTCCTTGTTTGCCTTCTAGAGATTCAATAAGAGCAGTCTCCTCACCACAGATGTAGGCCCCAGCACCTCGATGCATAAATACATCAAAGTTATAGCCAGAGCCACAAGCATTTTCACCAATGAGTCCAGCTTTGTAAGCCTGAAAGAGAATTTATCAGCATTCAGTATTTTTTTTATATACATGTACTGTAGAAGAACACTGAGTGTTAGATAGGAGTGAATGGAGACAAATGGTTCTTGGGAACTGACGAGCTGTTGAAGTGTGAGCAGGGTAATTAATATTTAGTGGAGGGATTCAGGGAAACCAGTTATTTTTATATAGCCGGACTTGAGTTCTGGAAATGAGAAGTACAATGCCTGCACTTTAACCCTTTGAGGGTTTCGGCCGTACTAGTACGGCTTACGACCCAGGGTTTTTGACGTACTAGTACGCCTAAATTCTAGCACCCTCAAATCTGGCGAGAGAAAGCTGGTAGGCCTACATATGAAAGAATGGGTCTATGTGGTCAGTGTGCACAGTATAAAAAAAATCCTGCAGCACACAGTGCGTAATGAGAAAAAAAAAACTTTGACCGTGTTTTTGGAATAAAGCAGCGAATTTGCACTGTATTTTCATGTGGTATTTATTGTTGTATTCTACTTTTCTTGGTTTCATTTTATAGAATGGAAGACATTACAAAAATTGAGATGATTTTGACTGGTTTTACAATGAAACGTACCTTGAAATTGAGTGCAAAGTAGCAGAAATGTTCGATTTATATCAAAGTTCAATAGTAAACAAATCATGCCAAGCGTCCAATACATGTCAACTAGCAAGTCTAATATTCTTTCACAAGTACGCTGATATTATTTATACCATTTCTACACTAATACAGCAGTCTGCATAACAGAAAATCTTCTATTTTTTTGTAATAATAAAAATTCAAAGTGGAAAGCCAAAGAAATATAAGAGGGGCCTGGGGATGTGACTAACGAACAGAGAACTTGTTATTTTAGTGCCAGGAATGTTTTTCTTGTTTATTCTGGACCCTATTCAGAAATTGGCATCTTTTGAAATTTGTGTGAAATTGGCAAAATTGCTAAATTCTGACCACTTTATTGGACAGTTGAAATTGGTAAATGGGTGGTTTCTTGTACTCATTCGATAGACAAAATGGAGTTCTAGCGAAATAGTTATGATTTTTGTCGACTAGTACATTGAAATTGGCCGAAAATAGGGCTCAAAGTGGGCAATATCGCCGATACGTAAACATCGAGACTGCTAACTTCGCGAAAGCATAATTCCCTAAGTTTTCCATCAGATTTCATACTTTTGGTGTCATTATGATCGGGAAAAGATTCTCTATCTTTTCATGAGAATTTTTTTTTTTTTTTGAAATTTGGCCGACCCTGAGAACAAGTTTCGGAGAGGACTTGTCGACCCTCAAAGGGTTAAATGAGGGGTTTGGGATATTGGCAGTTTGGAGGGATGTGTAATAGGACGGTATATATATATATATAATTGGGGCCCTGATATTATATTCTATGTGGTTAAATTTATTATACTATTTCAGGTCACTTTTTATATTGTATCTTCATACATACATGATATGCTTAAGGATGTTGTATTGGGTGAATTGCAGAAACAGTCTCATTATGGAATATGAGTGAGGTGAAAGTGTTGAAAGAGAAAGTATTTTTTCATTTTGAGGATTTTTTTATTTTTCTTTCTGGGTCACCTGCAACACACACACACACACACAACACCACACACACACACACACACAGATGAGAGAGGAGAGAGAGAGGAGAGAGGAGAGAGAGAGCGGAGAGAGAGCGAGAACGAAGGAGAGCGAGAGAGAGGAGAGCGAGAAGAAGGAGAGCCAGAGAGAGAGCTGAGACGAGACTGCGAGCGAGAGAGCGATTGAGAGAGAGCGAGAGAGAGAGCAGAGAAGAGAGCGTGAGAGCGCGAGCGAGAGAGAGAGCGAGAGGAGGAGAGCGAGAGAGCGAGAGAGCGAGAGAGAGAGAGTGAAGAGAGAGCGAGAGAGCGAGAGAGCGAGATGAGCAGCGATGAGAGAGCGATGATGAGAGCGAGAGAGAGAGAGAGAGAGAGAGAGAGAGAGACGAGAGGAAGAGAGAGGAAGAGGAGGAGAGAGAGAGAGAGGTGAGAGAGGAGGAGACGAGAGAGAGAGAGAGGAGACTGAGACTATCAGATCCTGTCGGCCAAATTAGAGGTTTCATTACTTTAATGTTGGGAGAGCTCACAATAGCTTTGTGAACACTCGAAGTCCCGGAATGATAGCTGTTGTTTGAAACATTTTATGGATGACAGGGACTCCCAGAAAATTTTGCAGGAAATGCTGGTACACTCCATGGTATGAGAAGAGGACAGGCAAGGCAAGGAGGGGTGGTTGTCTGCTGTGTGTTCTCTAAAAGGTTCATGCACAGCCATAGATGTTTCCACCCCTACACATCTTGAATGATGGCTCTTCAGCTCTGTATAAAACACTTGTACCTCTTACTAGCATGTGCATGTACAGAACCTCAGTGGCAACATTGCAGTCCCTATCAACTTCCTAATGGAATAATATTGGACTCCCTTCTGCTACAAACACAACTGTCAACAATTATAATTGTTGGTGACCTCAACCAGCACCTTATACAGAGGGACTTTGATGGACCTTCTTGCAGTGTTTGACATGATGAAACTTTGTTGATTTTCCCTACTCATATCTCTGGCTCCTCCTAGACCCAGTAGTGCAGTTGATCTGGCATAAGGCATAGCACTTGTCAACCCCTCGGCTACGTTGGATCGGTCTGACCACAAGGGCTGTTTTTACCACATTTTAAGATCCCACAGAACGAGGTGAGGAGTCCACACGCAAAACTGGCTATGGGAAGAGGTAATTGGCCAGCCCTGTGCTCTGAGCTCGCCACACCGACTGGAATGCTCTTCTCCAATCCAAAGGGGATGTTGACAAACCAAGTGATAGCCCTTCACTGGACCATCTTTAATCTACAACAAGAACCATCCTCGCCGGCAATATGTGACGAAGCCTACAGATCAGCCTTGGTTAGGCTTTGTTTGCCCTTGAGAGGCTGCTACTGGCTAAGTACAAAGCATGGCAAAGGTATAAGAGACATCCTACACCTATAACTGGAACTTGCCACATGCAAGCCTGTAGGCTTATGGGTGATGTTCAAAGTGGGCCTTGCCTAAATGGGAGGTGGACACTAAAAGAAGTTTAGCATCAGGTAGGGTTAGGCTCCAAAACCTGGTGTCCCTGGTCAAGGACCAGACAAGGTATCTGGGGCCTGAATGAACTTATTCCACTCTAAAATCGACAGATGGGACCACCTCTACTAGTAGTCAAGCAGAAGGCGGACCTCCTTGCTGAACACTTGCTACCAATATGCAAGTTCCCTATCCAGAAGGGACCTCCTTGGCTAGCTGCAAGAAACTGTGTCAAAACTGTGCAGTGGTGACAATAAGGCAGGAGTGAGGTGCATTTCCGGTCTTAAATCACTTGACCAAGAAAAGGCTGTGGGCCAGACAATTTGAGCCAAGATTGATGAGAAGATGTGCCAGACCAGCTTAGCAACTCTAACTCGCATCTTTCAGCACTGCCTAGTACAGTGTAAATGGCCCTCTCTATGGAAAGAGCATAATGTAGTCACTGTTAACAAAAAGAAAGAGCAGAGCAGAATCAGCAACTCAGACCAGTGTCCTTCCTGTCAATTCATGGTAAAGATCCTTGAGACATAATCTCAAGACAACTGACAGATTTTTTTGACTACCACTCACTACTTTGTGATCGTCAATATGGCTTCAGGAAGGTTACTCCGCTGCTGGTCTGTTTGTTAAAACTCATCACTAAGTGGCACCAGTCACTGGATGAATCCAAAGTCAGCTGTTGTGGTTAGCATGGACTTGTGGCGCTTTCGACGGGTGTGGCACCAGGGCCTCTTAGCAAAACTTTTCAAGCACTGGGAAATTGCAGGCCTCTCACGCTTTGCTCTCCTCTGTGATTACCTTATGGTAGATCTCTATGTGATAGTCCTCAATGGAACGAATCAGCAAGGATCCTATTGGGGCAAAGCGCTTTCCACAAGGAAGCGTGCTGGGTCCATTGTTATGGAAATTGTCTACTTCAAGACCCTTCTCATCCTCATCCCAGAATAACATGCATCTGCTGACGACTGTTACACTGACATTCACTTATCCAAGAGAAGAAATGCCAGCTGCTCTAAAGCTACATCAATCACCAGCTGAGTGTATATCAGCTCTTGGGGAAAAATTAGATGGAATAGTAACATTTGCACCTGAGAGAAAAACGCAAATGATAATGTCTCTAGGGAACCATGATGGTAATGCTGGTGCAGTAGTAAGGATGAATGGCGAGGATGTTGCCTGGAGAAGAAGTTGATATCCCTTGGGGTGAATATTTGACTCCAAACTAACCATGAGACCATGTTGTATATCTTGCAAACAAAGGCAGCAGGAAGCTTAACAGCACTTCACTGTATTCTGCATTGCCTTGGCAGTAGGGGTTGCAAGTCCTGTACGACGGCAACAAGTACGCTCACACCTTTTGGCGTTATGCTCCACTTTCTTGGTTTGCTGCCCACCCTTCATCTGCGACTGCTTGACAGAGTAGAGAAACGGCAGGACGATCTCATCTCTCGCTGGGACCCATCCTGGATAGTTCTGTCATTTCAGCAGAAGCCTTCAACATAGGAGGGATGTGGGGTGGCTTACTGTTATGTACAAGGCCAATATTGTCAAAATACACACTTGGATCCACTTCAAGGACAGCGTGAAACAAGCTTTTATGCACAAGACGGGCAGAAGCGCAACTTCACTCTGCCTGTTACCTTTCTCCAGAACATCACTCCATGAGATCATACATACCCAGGATTGACTCGAGAATGGAACAATTCAGTACAGGATAATGATGTCAACGAGATAAACGTCAGTTGATCAAATGAAAATGTGCCCACAGATGGCTCCAACTTCATCCTGTTTCCTACTTGTATCGTCTCATACAATAAAAAAATGCTTTCAAATGAGCAGATGTAGGTGAACAGCTCTAAGCTTGCCAATAAAGTAATGAATCCTTAACTGTAAATAGCAGTCAATAAAGCTAGGGATCCTTATCC